AAATCTCCGATGTGTAGCGCTCGGGTAAAGTCGGCTGGAGTCGACTAATTGAAGTGATTTCTTTCATATGGATTAAAATATCTCAAAAACTAAAAATCGGACTTGCATATTGTTAGTGAAGAAAGTGTTCATTATTTCATCCTTGTTTTTGATGAGTTATTATTAAAAATTGTATCTTAACGCGACACCGTGTTAGGACGGCGAAAAGGGAAAAAATATTTTAGAAAACCAAATTATAACAAATTTTATTGAAGATATGGATTAAAATATCTCAGAAACTAAAAATCGGACCTGCATACTGTAACGTATGGAATTGTTCAGCATCTCATCCTCTCTGTAATAGGCTATTATTTATAATTTATATTTCATATTATTTAATCTGGCCTTGATGTTTTCACTTCTATCGTGTGGTCTATAGCACATAGTCTGTGGTACAGACCCCTTTTTTTTATCAAATTATTAACATCCGCCTGAAACTTCGTAATTAATTTCATCTCATCGTAACCTACAACTATTTTATTTACGAAAATTCTCGGAATTGGGGCGTTTTCAATCTGGAGGGGAGCAAACTTATTCTATTTATTTAGGTGCTAAGAACTCGTAAATATCGATTTGCTTTCCGACTGAATCGTCAGATAACACGAGCACAAAATCGATAAAAAAAAAGGTGGTCTTGAAAAATATGTACCCATTTGGCGTTACCTACACTCCCAAATCGTCAAAATAAAGATGTCATGTAGGACAAACGGCCCATTATTTTTGTAGTTCACCTTTCTTATCGATTTTTTGATAAAATTGAAAATGTTCTTATTCCAAGAGTTTTCGTAAATAAAATAGTTGTAGGTTACGATGAGGTGAAACTATTCACGAAATTTCAGGCGGGTGTTAATAATTCGATAAAAAAGTGCCTGTACCACGGACTAACACATTTAAATATTTTTTTTCTTTTTTTTATTTCGGAAGCTTAACCATGTCGATTTCCAATTTTATAAAATTCTTAACCATATTTTAAAAATATATATTTATAAGCGTACACGATTAAAATGTCTGTATAGTGAATATGTTGTACATCAGGATAATTATTGGTTTTTTAACGTATGATATTTAAAAAATATCCTGCATTTTGTTAGGGTATGTGGGATTTTGAGATCTATTTAACAGATAATTTTTTTCTATATAAGGATAAATCAATATGGTTAATATATGCTATAATATATAAATACGGTTTATTATTAAAATATTTTAGGTGCATTGTGAGCTGAACCTACTAGATTATAGTGGTAAGTCATCGATATGTCTTAACATATTTATTATAAGATAAACGAATTAAAACTTTCAGTCGTGTTAGGTCTGTTAACTATTTGGAAAAATTCCTCGGTGCGCTTAAATCAGAAGGGAATGACCGTTCGATACTTGCTCATTTTAATTAACTTATTTTTGTGGCGGCTCATCGGAATTTTCAGCCTTATAGAATAACTCACCTTTATTTATTTAGTTTTTGTATATAATTGCGTCAAAATAAATCGATATGGTTCAATTTATCAAACCACCATGAACAAAAAATCACAAAATGAATAAAGTTCGTCTTACGATACACTTGTATACTCTCTAACCAAAAATCCTTCTTATACACAGTCTTTAATATATTACAAACGAATCGAGCAATCGAGCTTCTGTTTTTTTCTCTCTCACTATTATTGATGATTCTATGAGATATCTGAAAAGAACAAGGCCCCACGACCTTAGATAGTATCTACATCATTTTAATGCTCCCACTGTCATTTATAATTGACGTGCACTTATCTTTACCCTTTTTCAATGAAACTTCTTCTAATAGGTGCCTATAGAGATAATTTTAAAATCTCTCTTAAATAGTTTTGTATTAACATTGACCGACATTGAATAAAAAATTATATATTTTCCTTATACAAAATATGACAAAAAAAATCTGAAGCATTTAAAAAAACAAATTTAATTTTTATATTGGACTAACGTTTGACAGAGGAATGGCAAAAAAAGAAAACGTTTAATCCCAGACTACGACTATTATAGATACTTCCTTCAATGCGCTCAAATTAAATCTAAAACAGAAATTTAATATTTACACAAATCAACTTAAACGCTTCACAAATATATGGAAATCACTTAACATTAAGACTTTCTCATGCCAACAATAACATGCGGACACACTACATGAGATTCCACGATAACTTACATACTAACACTCATACAAGATACGGATACAATTAGTATGCCCGAAAACAAGCTCAGGAGGCTCAAAAGAAGCTGGATGAGGGATCTCCTCATTAATAAGTGTACTAAAATCAAGATAGGAAGGGATGCCGCTGGGCACTCCTCTCCCTCACTCCGATCAATGACACTGATATAATAGTATTCTTCTCGAAAGCAGACGGATTGTCAGTACGGATAGGTATGAGTGAAGATATTAATTTAAAAAATAAAATTATAATTGTAAAAATAATTGTACAATTACCACTCTAAATCAAGCTAGCCATGAATATGTTATTTATTAATTGGTTTATTAATTTTTAATTATTATTGAATTACAAAAAGTTTTAATATAATACCGGTAAATTCCGCTTCATTCAAAATATTCATTCCTCCAAGGCTTGGCAGATCGGAACATGGATATCCTTAAGTTTTTATATGAACTTATAAAAGAGTGAAAAATAGACATGTAAAAAAATTATATTAAAAAATTCAATCAATAATCATTCTAACAATATAACGTGGGAAATAAGATTTCATTGAAATTCTTGGGTTAACTAATAAAATAAAAAGTTAATATATTTTTTTAAATGATATCAAAATTTATTAAATGACATGGTTTATTACTAAAATGCTTAAAGAGTTAACTGCACAAAGTTAATTTAAGTTTGTAAGTGCAACAGTTTTGATTTTTGTGTACTTCATGACAGTAATCGAGTATGAAATATTAAATTAATTGTTATTCATTTTTGTGACTGTTATTTATTGTTATTTCTACACTTGAGTTTAAGAAATTTATTGCATTGTTTATAATCTTAAATGAAATAAAAATTTCCACCTAGATTTCTTTAAAAATAATGATAAAATCCATTCCACCTATTTGTGCATTGTTATCACCTACAAACATTTAAAATTAAATTCTATTTATCAATTTATTTTAGTAAGTTTTTCGTTTTGTTTTTATTGAATTTCTTTTACGCTGGAAGAAGAAGCCTGTTAACATATCATCGATATGTTATTAATTAATTGATTTATTAATTTTGACTTATTATTGAATTACAGAAAGTTTTAATATACCGGTTAAATACTGCTTCATTCAAAATATTCATTCCTCCAAGGCTTGGCAGATCGGAACATGGATATCCTTAATTTTTTATATAAACTCATAAAAGAGTGCATAATAGACTTATAAAAAATTTACATTAAAAAAATCAATACTCATTCTAACAAAATTACGTGGGCAATATAAGACTTCATTGAAAGTCTTGGGTCAACAAAAAAAAAAAATAATAATAAAATCTGGTGTATGAAATTAAACATAGAATTTAAATGAATATCAAAATTTCTTAAATAGCTTGGTTTATTATTAAAATGCTTATAGAGTTAACTGCACAAATTTTAATTTAAGTTAATTAATTGCTATAAATTTGATTTTTGTGTACTTCGTGATAGTAATCGAATATGAAATACTAAATTAATTTTTATTCACTTTTGTAACCGTTATTTATTGTTACTTCTACACTTGAGTTTATAATCTTAAAAGAAAAAAAATTCCACCTAGCTTTCTTTAAAAATAATGATAAGATTCCCTCCCCCCTATTTGTGCATTGTTATCACCTACAAACATTGAAAATTAAATTCAATTTATTAATTTATTTTTAGTTTAAGGTTTTCGTTTTGTTTTTATTGGCTTTCTTTTAAGCTGGAAGAAAAAGCCTGTTAACATATCATAATTGTATAATTATCAATCTAAATCAAGTGCCATCGATATGTTATTTATTAATTTTGACTTATTATTGAATTACAGAAAGTTTTAAATACCGCTTCATTCAAAATACGTTCCTTCAAGGACTGTCAGATCGGAACATGGATATCATTAATTTTTTATATAAACCCATAAAAGAGTGCAGAATAGGCTTATAAAAAATTTATATAAAATAATTCAATACTCATTATAACAATATAACGTGGGGAATACTTTATTGAAAGTCTTGGGCCAACTAATAAAAAAAAAAAGTCTAAATTTAATAAATTTAAATAAAAAAGAATAAATGTAACAAAAATTTATAAATGACTTGGTTTATTATTAAAATGGTTAAAGAGTTTACTGCAAAAATTTTAATTACGTTAGTTAAATGCAATAATTTTGATTTTTGTGTACCTCATGATAGTAATCGAGTATGAAATTAATTGTTATTTATTTTTTGTGACTGTTATTTATTGTTACTTCTACACTTGAGTTTAAAAAATTTATTACATTGTTTATAATGTTAAAAGGAAAAAAAAATTCATCTAGCTTTCTTTAAAAATAATGATAAGATCCCCTCCCCCCAATTTGTGCATTGATATCGCCTACAAACATTGAAAATTAAATTCAATTTTTTAATTTATTTTTAGTTTAAGTTTTTCGTTTTGTTTTTATTGACTTTCTTTTAAGCTGGAAGAAGAAGCCTTGCATTAGTACTTATACTTGTTATTAATTTCTTGTGAATGTTATTTATTGTTACTTCTACACTTGAGTTGAAGAATTTTATTGCAATGTTTAGAATCTAAAAAGAAAAAAAAAAAAATCCACTTAGCTTTCTTTAAAAATAATGATAAGATTCCCCTCTCCCCTATTTGTGCATTGTTATCGCCTACAACCAATTAAAATTAAATTCTATTTATTAATTTATTTTTAGTTTAAGTTTTTGGTTTTGTTTTTATTGACATTCTTTTAAGCTGGAAGAAGAAGCCTTGCATTAATACTAAAGATGATATCTTCGCCTTACTTGCTCGTGTCCCGTCGCCGGTAAGCCGAGTGGTGTGTCGGAGACGCGTGAGACTGACGGTCGGAGGAGTACTGATACCAATTAGGGTCAGCGGGTGGTTAGTTCATTCTTGGTCCCCACTCCAATCCAACCCCCTGGTGGGGGGCTTCGTCTGTCTTCGTCTGAGGGACTATTGTACTCTACATCGCTTACATTCGATACAATAATTATATATCTCAATTAGGCCTTTTCCATATTATATATATAATAATCCAACATAGTCAGAAATAGTTATCATGCTGGAATTGGAATGACTTGAACCTGTATTATAGTTTTAATCTGAGGACAGCAGATTGATCCGTGTAACCTGCGTCTTGTCTTGGTCCGCGGTGCAGACCCCTTTTTTTAATTAAATATTAAAAATTTAATTAACATCGTAACATAAAACTTCTTATCTACGAACATTAATATTAATCGAATATTTAATAGCTGGCCGTTGCATTATAAAGGAAGAAGATGGTCCGGAGTGGCGGTCATAAATAGGCTAACTAGTGGCAAAACTATTTTATCGAAAGCCAACGTTTCGACCCGACTTTGCAAATCTTCTTCAGGGCTACAACTGACAAGATACAAAAAGATAGCGAATTGTGAAAGTTACATATTATTTAGACAAAATTATAAACAATGTGAATAAGCTTATTGATTTTTTTTAATTGAAATTTACAACTGTATTACATGGAAAATACAATAAGTAAATGTGACATTGGTAACATGACATGTACAACATGAAGAGAAACTACCCATTGGTAGAACTCAAATTAAAGTTCTATATTAGAAGGTCCCGAGGCCATCTTCTTTTCAGATGCCTCGGAGGGTTATCAGGGATTGAGGAGGAAACAAGTTTTGAAACGAGAGGATTCGGATGGTTCTGCAGTTTGTTATGGAAGGATAGGTATCTGGATTGGGCCAAATCGGAAACATACGAAACATTAAGGATTTTATGGATAATTTTATTTGTGACAAAGTAAGGAGCGTTGAGGATTTTACGAAGGATTTTGGATTGTAAGGATTGGATGCGAGAGGAATTCGATGGTTTAGTGGAGCCCCAAAGCTCAATTCCGTAAGTCCAAATAGGTCTTATTATTGTCATATATATGAGTCGTTTGTAATTGATTGAAAGCTTAGAGCTTTTGTCTAGTAACTGCTGCAGTAGTCGAAAACGTCGGGCGGTTTCTAGTCGTTTCAGTCTGGTATGGGGGTTATAAGTTTATTAAAATTATAAAAAGTGAGCACATTAAAATATAAACGGTGTAAGCTAAGTAACAGGATACTAAACTGAAATAAATAGATTGTAACAATTGTTGTAGTGTAATATATAATATATGAAAATGTGAATATACTTCTACAGCTCTATAGAAGAGATTGAATGAATAGGAAAAAGGATACAATATGAAATAATAGACATAAAGGAATGTGGAGAAAGAAAAGAAAAAAGAAAACCAAAAAAATAAATAAATAAGTAAATAAAATTAAAAGAATGAAATTAGAGACTTACTACGTGTTCATCTAGGAGTTTCACTTAGAACTGGAAAATCAGGGTAGGGGCAGGTATGGGGGAATTTGCTGATTTGTTTAGGTAATAGGGAAAAACCTAGAAAATTACAGTATCTAAAATTTGAAGATATGGATGGATACAAGGGAAAAAAATACTATAACTATGAAATATTAAATTCTAAATATATACATATACATATAAAATAGAATTAAGAGATTATAGACAGGAGTAAAATGTGAATAAAAACAAAAATGGAAGAAGTAAAACGTACATAGAAGTAAAATATAAATATAGAAATAAGAGGCCATCATACATTGCAGAACTAACTTAGAAGTATAGAGAGGGAGGAAAAATGAATAATTATAATTATATTTGGTTGTACATATGTAAGAAAATTACATTAAAATATTAGATAATATTGAGACGTGGTTAATTAATATTAATTATACGAATAAATTAATTAATTTAATGAGGTACTAAAACTCATTGATACCCATTTTCTTCCACTTGAATCGCAAAATAATTTGTTCACAAAATCAATAAAAGAGGTGGACAACAAAAATATTGGTCAGTTTAGCCTCGTTATTTTGGCACATAGGCATTGGAGGTCTCGTGAAACGGTACAATGTTTGCAGGACACCTGTCTTCTTGATATTTTTTAAATTAAACTATCTCAAGTTTCATATGGGAAGCAAGTGGGCGTTGATGATTTTCTGTTTCCTCATTCAATCGACAAATCTTAACGATCTCCATATAGAAAACTTGTGGAAATTTTCGAACCTCGCATCTCGGACTTGATGGATTCTTATAAGTATTAATTTGAATTTGACTTTTTTATATCTATTTACTCAACGTGTTCACACGCGTTCCTCAGAGCATTATAACTAAAATTTCCAAGTTCTTATTTTTTATTTATTTAATATTTTTTAATTAAATACACATTAACATTTATAAAATAAATATTGGGGTCTTTTCAATCTGGAGATCGGCAAACTTTGTCTATTTAATTGAGTACTAAAAATGCATGAACACCCATTTGGATTCCACATGAATCCTAAGATAATTTGAACACAAAGTCGAGAATAAAGGTGACCTACACGTGATATCCACTCCTCAAAATAACGAGATTATAAATTCCAAACGGTCCAATATTTTTGAAAACGCTCAAGTTCTAAGAGGTTTCGTAAATAAATTAGTTGTAGGTCACGATGAGATAAAGCTATTCACGATGTTTCAGACCGAAGTTAATAATTAAATAAAAAGGCGTCTATGACACGGACTATAACGAATTATTTTTTTAATGATACTTAAGTAACGCAACTTTCATTATGTTTCTGGAAAAAATTCGCCGTTTTCGGATATAAAGTTATTACACCACTTAAAATAAGAAAAGATATTGATCTCAGTGGTTTTTTGTCAGTACGCCATATCTTTCTCAATTCTTTATCAAATCCAGAGATGAAGCCATCATTTTGAATATTATATTCTCCTTCAGGTGCGAAAAATAACTATGGAGAAAAGTTATCAAGAAAATTAACCAATATTTGTTCGTGTAAAAAACTGAATGTATGGGTGGAGAGATTAAAGCTTTTTTCAATCTTATACTACAACTCAACTTACATCGCCTATATAATCGATTTGTTACCTATTTTCTCTACAAAGAAATAACGAACCACATCTTCTTGTCAATGTATGTCTTCTAAGTACTGCGATTTAAATATATTTATCTTTTTATCGGACGTTAATGGAGTTCAACGACCTGTAGAAAGGCAGGTATTGAGTCATTGGGTCACAGCCAGTCATGCGCCAAATGAGATAAAATTGTGTCAATAAAGTTGAGAGTTATAATAATTGGATTTTTAATTATTATGTTATTTTATCTTGAACACTTGTTTTTATAAGGAACTGTTTACATGGACGTCTCTGTTCCAGGGTACTGAGTAGTTCATCGTCTCTCGTTAAAATGAGGTTATCGTTATTGGTGCTGTCAAATTAAGCAATGTTATATAAAACAAATAAAATTTAATTGCGAATGATTTAAACTGTATACTTCAAATTACTATTGATTTTTTATAAATTGGTACTAACTTTAAAAATTAGGTTAAATGGTGAAAACACGTTAACAAATAACTTTTAAACTTAGGCTAGACATGTCCTCACCAGTTAATATCAGCGGGAACCGAAATTCCTCGAACACAATACGTGATCTTGGACTAATATTCTAATTTTTCTCGGGGATTCAGCACATGTATATGTAGAAAATAGAATACGTTGTATCATTGATAATACTGGTTTAATTCCAAAGAATTTTTTTTTGTAGGTAATTCTTTTCTTTATATATTTTTTTCCTGAATTTTCTCAGGAATTTGGTACATGTACAAAAATCGAAAGGATAAATATATGTAGAAAATAGAATACGCTGTATCATTGCTAATGTAGCTTAATGCCGTTGATTTTTTTTTTTTGGTAATTTAATTAACTTTTAAATTTTTTAAATATATTTTACTATAGAATATATACTTCGTAAGTTATGCTCAAAAACATTTTTCTTTTCTTTATGTATTTTTTTCCTGAATTTTCTTGGCAATTTGTACATGTACAAAAATCAAAATGAAAAATATGAAAATAGAATACACTGTATCATTGCTAATACTGGTTCAATTCCGATGATTATTTTTTGTAGGTAATTTAATTACTTTTCAAAAGTTTTTTTAATAGATTTTACTATAGAATATATAATTCGTGAGTTAGACTCCAAAATAGTTTTCTTTCTTTTTTTGTATATTTTTTTTTCCTAAATTGTCTTCGGAACTTAGTCATTTACGAAAATTTAAAGGAAAAATATATGTAGAAAATAGAATAGACTGCATCATCCCTAATACTGGTTTGATTCCGATGAAATTTCTTTATTTTATTTCATTACGTAATTTAATTAATTTTCAAAAATGTTTATATAAATTTTAATTTAGAATATATAATTTTAGCGTATTAGACTCCACAACATTTTTCTTTTCTTTATAACATATTTTCTGAATCTCGGGAATTTACTACATGTACGAAAATTTAAAGGACATTAATTAGAAAATTATAGGAAAGTTTCATCAAAATCACTAGAGCCATTTTTGCGCTGCAGTCCATAAAATATTCTTTTCACTTAGTGCGCAGCCGCTGTTGCGCAGGAAGCATCCAAATTGTGTCACGGGCATCAGTAGTCAAAACCCTACAGAACCAAAAAAGAATCGATAAAATCGGTTTACTAGTTCCCGAGATAATCTTGGCACAGACAGACATACAACCTCTGAAACTTAAAGATCTTTCAAAAACCGTACATAGAAATATGACCAGATTGCAATACTTTCCTTACCTAATAGAGGTAGGATTGTTAAAAAGTGGCCATATGTTTACTGTATTGATACTTAATATACTTATATTCTAAACACAATTTTTTACTTGATGAACAGATTCGTATTATTTATTTAAATTCAAAAGACTTTCATTACTCGATTACATATACATGTAAATAT